CCCCCCTCCAAGTCTGTGAGCGTTGCAATGGCCACAGCTTGCGGTTTCCAGTTTAAGACATAGCTACGACCCCATGGTGTTGTTTTGATATGCACTTGGTCAAACAGTTTGAAATGGGGGATTGTACTTTACTTTTACCACCTCTTCTTTTTCCTGTGTAGTGCTTGCATGTTTTGTGAATCAAACATCATGTAAAAATAAATTATGTGACGTTTTCGTATTTGATGTGTTCTTCAACGTCTTGGTTCTCGTGTATACAGACTATGGGTGTGGGTGGTTGGTGATTGCTCTGGTGTGGTTGGCGAGTGCTCTGGTGTGGTTTGCTCCTTCTTTCCTATCAAACAACCACCGTCCTTATCTCTCCTCCTTCTATTTTGTGTTTGTTACTCTCTTGTAACGCGGCAGTAACGCCTCTAATCTTTGGCACTCATCTGACCTTATAGTGTTGCGAGTGCTGTAAAACTCTTACTAAAACTAAACTAAAAGACTTTGGGTGGTTGATGGGTGCTCTGGTGTAGTTTGCTCCTTCTTTCCTATCAACCATCTATCGTCCTTCTTTTTTTGCGTTTGTTACTCTCTTGTGACATCTGTAATCTTCTGCACTTTTTGACCTAATTGTGTTTCAAGTGCCATAAAACGCTTACTGTAATGTATGCAGTCTGGCACAGCAGAATCAGCTGAATGCGCAAATCTTTTCATTTTGCACAAATTTAACAATGTACATGTTTTTAATTTTAATACAACGAATATGAACATGTACATATAGGAAAAAATTTAGGACCTAAAAATCTGTTCCCTTTGAGCATGATGCATGATAGACTATGGAAGAGGGGGGGGGGGGGATTGCAGTCTTTGTGAAAGTGAATCCTTTACAATTATTTGTATTATGTTCTGAATGGGGACATTTTCTGACATCAGCCTTTGCTGAGAGGGATACATCCCAGTAGAAAGACCGAGACACTCAAAACAAATTTTCTCATCACTCAGGAATCGAATTCGGGTCTCCTTCGTTCGACTGCGAAGCACCTGACCATTACTCAATAATAAATGCAAGTCTATATAATTATAATTGCAATCTTTTTTCATCTCACCCTTATGACTGTGAGTGCTTCTCGGTTACCGTTAAAATCAGAAGACACAGAAATGTGGTTTCCAAGGAGACTTAAGGGGATCCACTGGTCAGATCAGTAAAAATTTTGAAAAAATATCAGTTTTCGGATTTTGGAGTATCTTAATAGATATCAATATCAAGGATCCATCTTTAGAAGCCTAATTCCTTATCAAACTTATAAATAGCTGGAAAACGCATTTAAGAGAGGCAGCAATGTAGGAAAATCTTCAACAAAAATTATCTCTCTTTGCAGTTTTCTCAGAATTGTTTATCTGACCAGGTTGCAACACTATATTGAGCAGATCTCAGAAAGTTACTGTCAGAATTGTTTCACATTTGCACACAATCTTTTGTACACATTTCTCTATAACTTTACAGGAGCATTTTTGCTGTTTATGGTACACATTTGAGTTTTAGGCCTTTTTTATTTTAAAAAATCTTAAAACATTGGAGACCTGAATGTAGTGCATAACAAGGACTGTAAAGCTCACAAGTTAGTACAGAAAATTAAAATTTGGCTCTGTAAGGTTGTTCTACCTACCAACAGTAATCGCCATGCCAAATATTAGGCTTCTATCTTGATGAGTGTTGATGATTGACAAAATATAAAATTGGTTTTAAAAATGCTGAATCAATCCTTTATTTTTTATGGCTCGAGATTATTATGGCTAAAATCTTGAATTTTTTGCTTGGTAACCTTTTTTTGTACTATGTCACCCCCTTTGATGCAGAAAAGCAAGCATTAGACCAAAAACTACAGCATTTGGGTGTTGACCATAGCTACACCCCCTTAAGAATATTGTGGATGGAACAGAAATTAGACGAGTTAGCATTGAAAGAAGTTTAGAATATGGTTTTATAATGTGAAAATGATTGTGCGAAACCAAAGCAACGGTGTTTTGGGAAAGCGTCTATGTCGATTTCTGAAACGTACTGTCTGTCCATTCTAATAATTCTATTTCAATAACGCATCTTTACGTAGGCAGCACAACAAATTGGAAAACTGCTCTGAACTTTTGTTTGCCATGGAAATAAGGCACGAAATTAAGAAAGGGTCCGGCATATTCTACCGCAGATGTTGTACTGTGTGACACGAGGAAGAGGTTGTGAAACCATTTATTGAAGTCGGGAACACATAACTGGGCCACAGCCAGAAAGAACGCCGGACTGTTCGTAGTGAGAAACACCACAGATCACAGTGACTGTCCTCAACACTTGCTCCTCCTTCGAGTTGAGCTTGGCCTCCGTTTCTGCTGTGTTGGGAGTACACTTGTACTTGAAGTCGTCGTCATAGATCTTCTAAACTTTGATGAGGATCTCAGGGCAAAAGTTAGGACTAAGGGATAGATGATGACCACAATTTTCGAAGCCATACCGAGGAAGATCTGGTTGACCACATCCAGGAACAACAAAGCGGAGGCCGCTCCCGATGCTTTCCACATTACCAACATGGTGGAGTTTGTTTGAGAGTCAAAAGACCAGTGCATGCCTTGCCTGGCGAGTATGTGCGAGTAGCTAAATTTACCGTACGCCCTGATACCCAGGAGGACGAAAAGGCTTCTCTTTGTGTTGAAAACTCCTAAAACGTAATGGCTCGGCGACACAGTACATGTAGCACCTTTAGACGCTGATGAACACTGTAACAACAAGGATAGAAATGTCCATAAACATATGGTCGTAGTAGTAGTGAAAGAAGACAACAGACGGGTCAAGGTCTTTCTCTGACCAGCTCTGTGGGAGCGACTTGAAGACTTGGCCAAATTTTAATGAGACTCCCGAAGTCGACGCCACGATTAAAAGTAGCCTGAAACTGCGAGTGAAAAGAAACAAATATTGACCGAGTCTTTGAGACCTACCTTTGCTAAAACGATTATGTTGAAGAAATTGAATACTATACTATACTGAGTGATAGGGAAATACATATCAGTGTGTTATTTTATTGGAAAACATCAGATCTTCATCAGTAACCAGATCACCAGACTGGCGCTGCTGAAGAATAATGGAGTTTCTGGAATTGTCGGCCCAAATAGCACCTCTAAACCTTTTCAGCTACACTGTGCATGGACGAAACTTGAAAGATGAGGTTGCCTTTTAAGTTCTGAAAGTGTGGCGCTTCTCCTTAGAAGAACCCCCCCCCCCAAAAAAAAAAAAAAACCCCAAAAAAAACCAAAAAACAAAAACAACAACAAACAAACAAAACCCCGCCCTCTCGAAACCCCCCCCCCAAAAAAAAACCAAAACAAAAACAAATAAACAAACAAAAAATACCAATATCTTGATGAGATACCACGAGTCAGTTTTCAATTTCAAAGACGAGTGTTTTAAATGAAAATGTCAGTACTCTGCAGGAAAAAAATCTGTTCAAACTACCGTAGTGCAATTGAAGCGGGGGTTCCCTTTTGCCCAAATTATTTTTAAAATACAAAATAGAAGTAGAACACAACCAGTTGTGGGTGAGAAAGGATTATCAATCAGTTCAATATGACCATCACCACACTATTGATATCTCTTTTTTGTACCGGTAAATCTTTGAATGTGTCACATTTTGTACACATTTAAACAAAGGACATGAGACATTGTAATTATCACAATGATATTTTTAATTTCTTTGTGCATAAATTTACTTCTAGTCTTAATAAAAAGCTTACAATAATTAATTCACATTCTGTTCTGCGGTGATAGCAAATGTGGGTAATTTGGTCAAAGTGTGCTTGAAAAAAAAAAGAAGCAATAATCAATGTTCTGCAATATTATGTTCTGCCATTATGTCAACTCAATCGTTGCCCCATAAAATGCTTTCTCTGCCACGCCCTTCTTTTTCACTCTGAGACAGGTTTTGACTTCCTCGGGTGGCGTCGGTAGCTTAGTGGTCAGGTACGGACCTGTGTAATCGAAAGACAAGGAGAAGGAGGTTCGGGGGCTCGAGCCTCAGCTCGCCCGATGTGTGTCCTTGGGAAAGGCGCTTTTCACGAATTTCCTTACATGTATTAGCTCGGTTCCCTCGGAGATGGACGTTAAACTCAGAAGTCCTGCCTCTCGAATAACCTTAAAGTGTTGATGGGGGCGTTAAACACATAAAAATGGATGTTTGGCGGGTGCTCTGGTGTGGCTTGCTCCTATCAAACATCTATAATCTTATCTCTCATTCTCTTTTGTGTTTGTTCCTCCCTTGTACCACCTCTAATCTTTGGCACTTACATGACTTAATTGTGTTGTAAGTGCCGTAAACTGTACAGTAAAACGTTTACCAAACCAAACAGAACCAGTAATATACCAGTTCACTTCAGGTCTTACTTCTAGTCTTAGCTTCTCTTTTCTGCTCTGGAGTTAACATGTCGGCCTCCGTTGTTGGTATGTCTCTCTTGCTGGTATCCCGGTCCTTTCGAAGATGGACGTTAAATTCGGAGGTCCCGTAGTCCCGTCTTTTAAATAACTCAACAGTGTTGACAGGTGCGTGAAACCTAATCTGTGCCATTTTGACAATTTAAAAAAAATTGGTTGGTATCTGTGTGTCACAAGAAAGGTTTAACCTTCGTTCCTCTGTCCATTCTCAAGTTCCCATCAGAGGAATTCGTACTAGGGGC